TACTCCTTTAATTATCAAATTCTTTCATAGTTCATAATTATCTATTTTGTATTACTGCTGACTTTGAAGAGATCTTCCCTCTCCCACCCCCCATAAAAAGTCTCGAAAGTTAATATTATGAGTGACAGTTATCATAATCAACATAATTATTTTAAAACAAACAATATAATACTAAAAAGGAAGGAGATGGTCCGGGGTGGCGGTCATAAATAGGCTAAATAGTGGCAAAACTATTTTATTAAAAGCCAACGTTTCGACCCGATTTTGCAGGTCTTCTTCAGGGCTAGAACGGACAAGATACAAAAAGATATAGAGAATTGTGGAAGTTATTTAGACTAAAAATTATAAACAATGTGAATAAGCTTATTTTGAGAGATTAAACATTTTATTGAGAAATATTACAATCTGTCACAGTTAAGGACACTTATAATAGAGTTCTGAGAGTACATTCATACCGTATATACAGAAATATAAATAAATAAAGTAATAACAAAAGAATAAGAAAAAAGAACAAAAGAGGGAAAAAAAAATATTAATACACATAAGTAAGTAAAAATAGAAATAAAAGTAAAACAAACATCTTAGATACAAACATACCTATATACACTATTTACAATTAGCCAGGTGATCTCCGAACCAATCTTGTCCCCCCACATGTGGAGGGAAAAGCGAGGCTTAGGAGATCCCTACGCTTCTCCCTCAGCCACTTCACTGGTATTTAAAACCAATAAGCTTATTAAAATTATAAACAATAAGTACATAGAAATATAAACAGAGTAAGCTAAGTAACAAAATCCAAAACTGAAGTAAATAGGTGGTAACAATTGTTGTTGTGTATTCTCTTCCAATCTCTCCTGTAGATCTGTAGAAGTATATTTACAATTCCATATATTATATATTACACTACAACAATTGTTACCACCTATTTACTTCAGTTTAGGATCTTGTTACTTAGCTTACTCTGTTTATATTTTTATGTGCTTACTGTTTATAATTTTAATAAGCTTATTCACATTGTTTATAATTTTTTGTCTAAATATTATCTAACTTCCACAATTTTCTGTATCTTTTTGTATCTTGTCCGTTCTAACCCCGAAGAAGACCTGCAAAGTCGGGTCCAAACGCTGGTTTTTAATAAAATAGTTTTGCCACTATTTAGCCTATATATATATATATTTTTTTTTTTTTTTTTTTAACGTATAGATTATAGGTATATTTGAAAATATGTTAACAAAGCAATTGAATATATTACATTTTTTTTATTATTATTTAAAGGTTTGAGGTAGATGAGATGAACTCTAAATTCTCGGATGTTTCAAATTTTCCGCGAGAAATAAGATTAATTCTTCACGTAAAAATGGAAGGATGTACATGACTGAATTATGAAATCCTAAGATATGTTGTTACATATAATCTTAGAATAAAAACTAAAATTTCAATAATATCAACATAGGGCCTGGTAAAATACTTTCGTACTTAATTTAGGCCTTTTTAATTTAAATATTTTAGTTTAAATAGTTTTAGTTTTAGTTTAAATACTTTATTCATTCGTGTAGGTTAATTGTTATTAATATTTATTTTATTTTTGTTCTTCGAAGTAATTGGGGGGGGAGGGGAGGGCGAAACGATATTCTTGCCCCCTCTATTTTTATTGAGGGGAAGCTGATCGGCCCTCCCTGGAATCTGCGCCTATTCATATATCTAATATCGTTTTTCCACATAAGATGCCATCTATGTGTGCCATCTATGCCGGAACCGATGCCATCTATGTGCTTAGCCCTGAGTTTAGCAACTTCAACTTAAATACGTAATTTCAGTGCTGTAACTCTTTTCTATTTTGAGCTTGGCTATTCACACAAACACACACACACACTCTGTTATTTGGACTCAAGGAATATTACAAAAGCTCGGATTCGAAATAATTTCACGATCAGTATACGAAATGAGGGAGTAAGGGGGTTATAATCTCCAGGGCCCGGGGTTTTGTATATTCAAATTTAAACAAGACTCTTGCTATGATAGATCCTTGAATTTTGGCTCCGCTAGAGTTATGGATACTTAACTGAAGTAATATTACTAAACACAGGCGGATCTACGAGGGGGAGAGGGCTTTCGGGTTGAAGCTCCCACCCCTCCCTCCCTCCCAAATGGTAAAATATAACCATCTTTCACAGAAAAAAATATTAAGAGCTATCTCTTAAAGTATTCTTGTTCGTTTAATTACATGTACTAGGACTTGAAGAACTACTTAAACATCATTTCATATAGATAGTTAATTTCTTTCTTTTTTTTCTAATTAATTATTGTTTTATGTATATGAAAAAAAATCTTTTGGGCTGAGGCCCCCCTCAAAATTAAATCCTGGATCCGCTAGTGTAACTAAATTATATTATCATATTAAATCATTTTATTTTTTAAAAAAGTTATGTTTCATACAAACCAATAAACTCTTATTATTATAATTTACAAGTTAGCTCCATTTCCAAAAAAACTCAATCCATGTATTTATATTATAAGTTTTAATACCATTTATTAAGAATTGAAAGAGTTTATACCCTATTAGTTTAAGATAAAATAATATTTAATTTTATTTTATATAATTTATAGGTTATGTTAGAAGATTTCGTAGGTGGAGACTCTCGTTTTTTGTCAATTGACGTGCGCTATAAAACATACGGGTTGTAACCGCAGTCAAGTATGCAGCAAGAGATGCTTCGTAACCATTATCCAGTGTGTTTAATAATTAGCTTAATAATTAATAACTTTAACTAATTTGAGACAAATTTTTATGTATATAAAGCTGTACCACGTGTATTAGTGAGGGGAGGGGAGAAGGAGAGTGGAAAAAAAAATTAGGAAACAATTTTTTTCATTGATTCATATGTGTTGCAGTGAATGATTTAAGCTGAATACTTGAGTAATAACAATGTTATATTTTTTAAATTATAATACTTAAATAGCTACTTAACATAACCATGTCTTATGATAAAACTATCTCTAAAAGTATTATTGTTCGTGTAATTATATTTTTAATAGGACTTCAAGAATTACTTAAACACCATTTCACATAGGTTGTTATTTTCTTTCTATGTCTTCTCAAGTAGTTACAGATATTAAAAAAAAAAAATCGACCTTTTAAAGCTCCCTTCCCCCCAAAAAAAATTAAATTCTGGATCCGATAAATTTTTAATGTACAATTAATACATAATTTTAAGAAATATATATATGGAAAAAAACCAAATAATTTAAGTTATTAGAACAATTCTTAATCATGTAAGTTGTACATAGTTATAAAAATGTAATTAATGCTAATATAATAGTAGTTATATACATCTTCTACTCATAGTTATATATAACTACATACGTAAAAACATCTAAAGTAAACTGTTAAAAAAAATAAGTTGAAAGTAATAGATTGAACTTTTTAGATTTTAAAGTCAATCGAACTGAATTTCCGTTTTTATATGGGAGACTGGGATGATGTCAGTCATCCAAGGGGAAAATTATAATTCATAGCGCGTTTATATTCTTTCTTAAGCAGCATTCGCTTAATATTGCATTAATCTTTTTTTTTTTCTTAGTGAGGTATGAGCCTTGAACGGTATCATCCCTACCGATGAGTATGGTTATGGGTATGGGTATGGGAATACCGACAGTCGTTAGTGGCAGTGATTATTTACTGTTTGGAATTTGGTTATTTGTAGTAAGGGCATCAACAAAAGCTGTGCAGTTTGGGAGCTCATATTATATAATATTAATTTACTTTACTAGAAACTCTCTAATGGCATATGAATATGTTCTCTTGAGTCCTGTATTCTATAAAATTTAAATTATGTAAAACGTATGTTTTTCTCGATTAAAAAAAAATGTACTACTTTACAAGATTTGCTCATCTTTGATGGGTTTGGGCCCACCCTCATAATCACACAGTGTAGGTGGAATTCTGAGAATATTGACAACTGGTTCACGGATATTATTCCCATTTATTTTACCCGCCATTTACGATTCCATAAGTGGACCTTTTCAGTTTAATTTGGGGGCCTTAATTAGGTTTAATTACATCGATGCATTGGACATCTGCTCGCTGTGCTCGCTCAAAACAAACCCCAAACGGGTGCTTTTCAGTTGAGATCGCGGGGTCTTTACAGACAGTTCGCTCACCTGTCTAAATATTATTATTTATTCTGATTTTTGGCTAAGTCTCACTAAAACCGTTTCATGGCCCATTTTCAAGTATGAACTATCATGCACTTTTTTAAAATCATGTTTATATTGAGGACATGAGGACTATAATCAACCCCTAATCATTGGATTGCGAGGACGATTTTTTTTTAATTGATGACAATTTAGAGAAGATGAATGAAAGTCCATCGTAAGTTCAGTCGGCGATGAGAGGATAGTAAAGAAAATTAATTTTTTCTCGATCTTTGGCCAAAATTCATTTAAAGAAGAAATACCAATTAAAATAATTATTTTGTCCATTTTAGGGAATATACTCTTCAACTCGTTTGTTTATAGTACCGCATATTCATCCGACTATTCGTTCCTCGGATTCATAGGTAAGGTTACTAGGATTAGAGATTTCTCCATTATGTATCATCAGATTTAGTTTTCTATTTAATTAGGATGTTTGAATGTTTTTGTCTGTGAATGTTTAATGCGGTAGAACTGGATCCATCATGCCAACTGTATAAGATTGTGTTGTTGGTTTCTCTTCTTGCAGTTTACATCTCATTTTTCCGCATCCGCCCACAGTAGCCGGAGCGCCGGCCCTAGACGTTTATAAACACATCACCTGTTGGAGCGGATGTGATCCAGGGATCGAGAACCTGTGCGTGTTGCGAGGATATTAGTGAGACATCTGGGGAAGACTGGCAAAGCGGTCATTTATCAGCTAGGGGTGGAGCCAGGATGTTGGTGGGGGCAGGGAGGGGCCGGGAGTGGGGAGGGGAGGGTCCCCGATAGAGGGGAGGATTCAGAGGCTAGTCTTGTCAGGCAATCGAGTAGGGTATCATGTGCAAGGCAGCTACAAGTGATAAGAGTGTTTAGTGCTGGTGTCGTGTGCCGCGAGGTGAGGCGATCGCAGGCTCCTCACGGCAAGGTAGGTTTATCAACTCCATCATCGCTTCCGACCTCCACAGTACTTCTCTTTTCGAAAGTTTGGTTCTAACTCCTCCAGGTCGTATCAGTAGGATTCCGTTCGAATAACCAGTGATTCTTTTGGTTTTTAATACCGTACAGGTGTATTCATGCGATATTCATCCTAATCAGAAGATACGTGCTAGGCGTTTCCGTTGGTTACGATTAACGTCACCGGCAGAAGCCGCCGATCGTAACGCGTGTGGGTGGTAACAGCTACAGTTCTGGGTGTCAAAGAACTGGATGCAGTAGCCCTTCTGTGTAGACTATGCAATATTGTTATAATTAGCCACATTATTTTCGCTTAGTATAATTCGATCGCTTAATTTATAGAGTCTGTGGACACAGAGTCATAAAATAAGCTAAGCGGCTTATTTTACTTGCCTTCAAAGTCTTAAATAAATAATAGAATGTTCTCTTACGTTAACATTTATACACTGAACACCGAACATTATACGGATATTGACTAATACTTGCTTACTCATTTATCCTGAAAAAACAAAGTATATTTCAAATTCAAGCAGATTATTATACCATCGATTTATTTTTATTTTTTATTCTTACCGACTTCTAAATAACATTTATCCAGCAGTGATTTGATCAAAATAAAAATTAAAAACTGTCAAATATCATATTTTCGTTTTTTAAAACTAAGAAAACTAGAACAAAAATTATAATTGTTTCTCCAGTGATTGTTGAAAACTAATTATTGTTGGCCAGATCGCAAAATGTTAGTATCTTGAATCACAGGGAATATCAGTGATTGCGGTGCGAGAAAGAAAACATTGTCCGCACCGCAAAAAAAAAAAAAAAAAAAAGAAGAAAAAGAAAATAATAATAAAATAAATTAATGTTTCACTTCAAATTTGATGGAATTGTGATATGTATGAATGCCACGTTCCAAAATCAGTTTGCTTTTTGTTTATGATAAACTGAATGAGAATAAATTCGAACGTAATTTGTATGATTTATTTATAGTATTCAACGGACTTGACCAAAATAGTGCTAGGGACTTCCACTGTGATTACATTACAAAGACTGTGTTTTGTATAGACTGAAATTTTTATAATATATATTTATATAATACGCGTTTTTTTTCTTTCTTAAGAACTTTTAATCCTTACAGATTTTAATAATTTAAAATTTAATTCACCGGATGTTCTAATCCCGTCAAGAAATGTTTCTAAAAGGGATTTGGATTAAGATAAAGGCTAAAAGAAGAAGAACGGTGAACAAACCAATTAGACAGATGACGAGATAAAACCAAATTGATAATGCCGATGTTATCTATGACCATTTATCCGCTGTTTGGTCGCGCAACGGGCCATGACTGCCTACCGTCGGAGACTTGAACGGGCGTACGTGGCTTCCAGGCAGCAACCCTCCAATTGCCGGAGCAACAAGTGGAAGTACGTGTACTCCACTTCTTGTAGGCTCATCCGAGTACAGTGGTTACCCTCAAGGGCATTCAGCACCAACCCACACTAACGAGAGTTGTGGCACAACATCCAAGAGCTTTCTAAATACTGACATGAGGTCAGATATGTTTTAAATCTTTAATGAAAATTTATTAATGTCTAGATGAAATAAACTTTCTGCCTCTCAAAATAAAAAATAATAGCAACGATACCGTGAAACACATCTGAAGAAACTCATGTCTTATATTGCTAGTCATTTGCTTAGAATAAATTTGGTAGATAGGTATATTAAAAAAAAATTGAATAAGCAATACTAATTTGGTCTATTACTTTTTAAAGAAATTTTTCTCAGCTCACAGATAAATAAAAATCGTTTTCTTTTTTTTTTGCGAGTTTTTGTCCGTTTACCATGATATTATATTTAATGGACTCGAAAAATATACATAAGATTATATTGGTATCAATTTTTTTGCAAGTAGAGTTTTGAAATTTCTTACGAAATAATATCTACTGATTAAATCAACCTGTGTTTGATTGCGTTAGTGGATATATCTTTTTAAAAATAGTTCACGTAAATATTGATGTTAACTTAAAAAAAAAATATTCTCTATTTTCAATTAGCATAGTTCATCCCTTATTCTAGACGGCTTTATATAATTTTGTTTTTATAGTGAATAGTTGACTGTCGTGAATATAATGAAGGGGAGCTGTTTGGGGCGATCAGCCAAATAAAAATAAATAAACTATATTTTTGCCGACGTTTCGGCCAAAGGTTCAGGTCTTCATCAGACCTGAGAAAAGGCCTACATAATAATATGTAGAGCAAAGTTAGGATATATAACATAATGGTAAAAATGGTTAAGAATTTATGAAATAAATAATAACGGTAATAATGTTAGGAACTATAAAATAAATAATAGTGGTTACAGATTTAGGAACTTGTCGAAATAAACAATGGTAAGATAACGGTTACAACATAATGAAAGTAGCAATGAAATTAAAAATCAATTAACAAGGAAATGTAATAGAATATTAAGAGATAAAAAACGTAAGTGTTATTTAATGTAATTATTTTTTTTTTTTTTAAATTGAACCTTAAAAAAATCTGTATTTGAAAAACGGTTTATAGTTTATATTTGTATTTATTTTAGGTATATTTAATCAATTAATAGTAGTTGGTCAAAATAAAATAAGTTAATAATAAAATTTTTAAAAACGTTACATTCTTATTGTATTTCATTGTTTGTATCGTTAACTGTTAATTTAAACGAGGGTGTGAAACATTTTGACAATTAACCAAAAAATTATATTGGTAACTATTGTTGTGATGTTGATTATTATAAAATATATATGCTGTAATGAGGAAGCAACGATTGATAATTATTATTATGATTTTAATCATCATACATTGTAAAATTATCATTGTACTTATAAATTATGATTATTGTCCCAATTTTACGGCATTATGTGTGTTCCTGAAAATAATTCCCTTCCAATTTTAACAATATTTTATTATGCTTATAATTAGCGCGGTGATTTAGAATGAAATAGTTTAACATTATAAATAAGCGATTTAGAACATTTGCAAAACAAAATTAGTTTCTTAAGAATTATTATTTAAAAATATAGGACAGAATTATATTTTAATAATGAAAATTTTCTGCACGACCCTCCGAATGAGTCCTTTTTTTCCAATGTGAATCCTAATAGATCTCTATGTTAATCGAGATAAGTATCGATTCCCATATTAAAGCACCCAATGACGATTATGGTGAAATATATATCTATTTTTTTTTTCAAAAACGTCCCTAATTAAAAGAGTGGAATGAAAATAAGTATGGTTCCGAAACAGGGCTCCAGAAATTTAATGAAACATTTCTTAAATATTATTGAAAAAATAACCCCTCAAATTCTTTTTTAACTTAATCGTTTTCTAAAAATAAAAATTAAATATAATCTTATTTTACTGTACTTATTATTGGAAACAAAAACTTTTTATAGTCCATTTTTCCTGAATTTTTCTCCCCAAATCTTAAATTATTTTTCTCCCCCTATAAAGATTTTGTTTTGTTCAATAACCGGCTTCGGAGTTTATTTATTTCCAAAAGGGACCTTATAGAAGTTTCAATGTTTTTTACTTGCTATTAGAATGGCCAGAGATTTTCGGAAATATGTCCTACAAATAAAAAAAATCTTAATTAATTACTTTAAAAAAATTGATATTACAAACGGAATAGTAAATATAGTTTTTCGAAAAAAAAATTGTCAATGATGATTGGGAATAAACGACTTATAAAATACCTTTCGAATCCACTGAATTAAATTTTGTTCACGAAAAAATCTACTGATTAGTGCGTCCATAGTTTCCTATCATAGTATTATCTAGCTGAAATTATATTTTTATGAGTCGTTACCAATAGTACAGAATATCTCTATAATTATGAGTAAAGAATATTATAAACTGTGTCCATATATAATAAATTTTATTTTATGATACGAATGCTTACTGTAAGGTTTGATTATGTGTTTGATTTAGTTCAAAAGGTACTTGAGATATATTTGAAAATGTTCTATCTGGAAATTCGGTTTTTAAATAAATAAATAGATTTTTTATCACATGTTTCTCATTAGTCGAGATAATTATTAATACGTAAAAAAAAAAAAACTTTAGTTATATAAATCTATCGATGTTTGTAAACACGTGTCCTTGGTTTCAATGATTCCATTTAATGATAGCATAGATTTAGTACTCATGATGTTTACAATATTGTAAGTCTGAAAAAAATCTAACCATTTTTTTATACATAGAAAAGTTGGATAAGACAAGAAAAACGTGTAATAAGAAATCGATTCTTAAGATATAAAGAGCGCAGTGTAGATATTTCTGATATGATATACGACTTTGTACCGTACTTAACCTTGTAAGGGGGAAAAAAGCTAGGCAAGCGAGAAAGAATGAATATATAATTTGCACTTATTATTGTCATTTTTTTTATTTTTTTACTTACTCGCTTTTATAAATGTTTATTTCAAAATTGAATTTATTCTACCTCTTGGCACGAGAAGTGAAAAAATAAAATAAAAATTCCATTTGTATAGTTTAATTGTTTTTGTTTTTTCAAAGTTATATATAGAAGGATTTTTAATCTTTCCGGAAATTATTTTTAGTCTATTCCCTATAAAGCTCAAATCTATCAGTTGAAATTATTTCAGCCATAAGAACTGTTAAATTGTTAATTAGGCTAGAAATACGTTAATTTTAATGGATAATATTAAGTATCGATCCCATCATGGGATTTGAAATTAGACAATGTTATAATGTTAAAAATTACCTCCAAGATAAATTCCGACAAAGTGACTGGCGTATAGTTAAGAATCATAAAATTTAATATAGCTGTGACTTTTGTATTAAAAATTACAAATAAAAAATAAATAAATTAGAGGACATTAATAAAAAAAACTGGAAATTATCAGGGCAGTTAGTTATGTGTTAATTAATATTCGATTATATGTATCTCATGTTTAAAAAAAAATCCACCACGTT